TTTTTTTTTTCTCTAACACACAGTACTGATTATCACTCTAGGAGTCATTTAAAATACTGCCAATTTATTTGCTCCTGATCTTAATGCAAATGCTATTAAGGTTTCATGCATGATTAAGCATGATGCTGGCTTTTGAGTGAATACACTTATTTTTGTATTTAAGTACAAAATATAAACAAGCTATAAAACATATTCCTGTAACTCAGTAAGAAGACATTTATTCCTATTATACTGCTTTTTCCCTTTAAAAAAAAAAAAAGCATTCAACTTTGACAAATACCTTTCAATGTATCTATCTTTCTTTGACCTATTAATTGCTATATATTAATAGATTTCCTGATTCTAAACCATCCATACAATCAAGAAATAGGCCCAACTCTGTTATAGTATACAATATTAATATATTTTAAGGTACCTCTGAATTATATTTATTAATATTTTAGTTAAAAATTTTATAGTAATACTTAAGTGATATTGGTCTCCAGTTTTGGATGTGCTATATGTGTCAGGTTTTGTATTAGTGTTATCCTGGATTAGTAAAACCAACCTGCAAGTGTTCATTCTTCATGCCCCTGAAGAGGGGTCAGCAAACTACACTCTCTGTGCGACATTTGTTCTGTTTTAGTGGATTACAAAATACTCAGTAAGTATTGTCTCTGGATATTTTAACACTATAACGGCAGACCTGAGCAGTTGAGACAGAGACCATATAGCCCACAAAGCCTAAATTATTTACTACCTGGCCTTCTACAGAAAAAATTCTGTACCCCTGTTCTAGAATTGCTTTGTCTAAAACAATAGTCACAAGCCATATGTGGCTACTGGAGCACTTGAAATGTGGCTAGTTTGAATTGCTCTAAATGTAAAAAACAATCTAAATTTTAAAATTTAATATCTCATTAATAATGTTTGAACATATCTGAAATAATATTTGGTATATTAATATTATATTAAATACAATGTATAATTAAAATTAATTTCAACTGTTTCTTTTTACTCATTTTAATGTGGCTACTAGAAAATTTAGAATTTCACATGTGGCTAACATTATATTTCTATTAGACAACATTGCTCTAGAATAAATTCAGAGTCGTGTCATTCTTTGAAAAGGAGGAAATAATCTTTTTCTTTCTTATATTAAAACCTCTAAAATAAAGATACTTACAGTGCATTTACTAGTATCATCATCATCCTTTTCTTCATAGTAGAAGTAGACAAAAGGGATCCAGAAGAACACACAGAACAATATAACAGAATATAAAGCTGTGGAAACAAATCATAAATTATTAATTACATATGTATTTAATCATAGTTATCTATCTATATGTATATATACTCACTTCCAAATGTTTTCCCCCATCTGAATCCCTACACTCATGACTATGTGTATAGTATGTGATATCCTTTTCTATTCCCTGTCCCAAGAAATCAATAGCACTATTAGAATAACAAACCATAATTAAAGTTAAATATGGGGCAATTTCTAAAAACAATAATTGTGTCAACAATAATGGTATCAGCTAACATCTGCGCTCTTACTATGTACTAACTATAGTGCTGAGAACTTCCTGTGAACTATCTCATTTAAATGAACTTTAAATTTTGTCCAATTTAAATTTCAGTACAGTTGGCACATTTGCCACTCTGGCAAGTTAAAGAAACAGCTATAAATGATACCATTTCTTTGATATAAATATTAAATAATTTCTCCATCTTAAGTTTAAAAAATATGGAGTATTATGTAACTGATCTTACATGAATCACGATAGAGAAAAAGAAGAATAGTAAAACAGTAAAATTAGGTTCCCTATCTTGGCGATCTCTAACCTCCCAGCATGCAGACCAGTACCAGTCGGTGGCCTGTTAGGAACTGGGCTGCACAGCAGAACGTGAGGGGCGGGTGAGCAAGCGAAGCTTCATCTGCATTTACAGCTGCTCCCCATTGCTCACATCACCATCTGAGCTCCTCCTCCTTCCCCCTGACTCCCGTCTGTGGAAAAATTGTCTTCCATGAAACCAGTCCCTGTTGCCAAAAAGGTAGGGGACGACTGCACAGTCTATCTATCAATGGGACACTTAGGTTCCTTCCACATTTTAGCTATTGGGAATAAATGCAGCTATGGACATGAGGGTACAAAGAACTCTTAAGACCCAGTTTTCAATTCTTAGATTAGATTCTAAGTTAACCGATAGGAATTACTATGTATCTTCTTTAAAATAATGTTAGATTTGAGATACTTTTAACCAGTAGTCAAAATATTTATTTAAATTCTATATAGAGGTTAAGTTAAAATTTGAATAGCCAGAGGCATAGTACATTTCATAATAAAAACAGCATAAGAAACATTTTGGGACTTACGCTTAAGAAACCTGTCTTTAAAATCTGTGTATTCACATTTATTTGCATACTCAAAAGTTCATGAAAAATAATAGTACTAGTATAATTATATAAAGCAATTACAGAATGGTAGCTATTGCACTCCTTTGTAAAAGCATTTGTTACCACCTCACAACCATTAGGATGACTACTATCAAAAAATAATAACAAGTTGTTAGCAAGGATGTGGAGAAACCGGAACTCTGTGTACTGTTGGTGGGAATGTAAAATGGTATAGCTGTGGCGGAAAACAGCATGATGCCTCCTCAAAAAGTTAAAAATGGAATTACATATGATTCAGCAATTCCATTTCTGGGTATGTATCCAAAAGAATTGAAAACAGGGTCTTTTGCAACCCAAGTATTCACTGATGGATATATAGAGAATCCAAATGTGGTATATACATAAAATGAAATATTATTCAGCCTTAAAAAGAAGGAAATTCTGACATGCTACATCATGGATGAACACGGGGACATTAAGTGAAATAAATAAGACAGTCAAAAAAAGACAAATACTGTATAATTCCACTTATATGAAGTACTTAGAGTAGTCAAAATCACAGAGACAGAAAGTAGGATGGTAGTTGTCAGAAGGGGATGGGACATGGGGAATGGAGAGTTATTGTTTAATGAGTACAGAGTTTGTTTTACAAGATGAAGAATTATGGCGATAAATGGTGGTAATAGTTATATATTATGAATGTATTTAATATCATTGAACTGTACAGTTAAAATGATTAAGATGGTAAATTTTACGTTTTGTATGTTTTGCCACAATAAAAATATTGGGGAAAAAAGCATTTGTTAGTAATGTATAATAAAACCTCAGTTTTATTCTCTGTTGAAAAAATAACTGTAGGAGTTACAGAATTTTTAAACATGATCTCAATATTTGCTAGCACTGACTCATTTATCTGGATTTATCTGGAGTCCACTTATGAAATAGTCCTACTGCATGCAACACAAATTAAAAAACTCAAAGAGTAAACAGAATCCTAAATAACCAATAAAAGGGTCAGAGTTAATTTATACTTACCAATCTCAAAATGATTATCATTTTGAATTTGGCACCATAGATATTTAATGAAATTTATGCAGTCTTTTAATATTATGAGCAACTAATGGTGACAGTAAATCTTTTAGGGTACTATTAGTATTTCTAGTATAAACCAAAGAGTAGAGAGTATTAACATTTCTATTACAAATCTAAGAACCAACAGAAATAAACATATACTCAAAAGGAACTGAAATAATTTATTTCAGAGCTTTACAAAATTAAACATAAAATGCAAAGATTGTAAATCACCCTAAATACCATACAAATATTATAATTAAAATAATCAAATAATGTGTGTAAAATTGGAAAGAAAAACATGAATTAGCACAAGAGACTTTAGTGGGCTGATAGCCACAAACCAAAAACTTCGATAAATAGATACAGTAAGGTTTCACTTCGGCCTCAGTACTTGGTGGCCTTGGCCTTTAGATAGCCAAAGAGCTTAATGACTATCGTATAAACATTCCTAGTGTTTCTGAATTGGTGTGATCAGTGATCTTATGACTGCATAAGTTAACATCATCATATTCAATTAGCATAACAAGGTATAAAACAAATTCTTGTAACTCATTAAAAAGACAACTCATTTGAAAAAGTGGACGATAGACTTATACTTCACATTAGATGATATACACAATGGCCAATAAGCATATTTAAAAAGATGCTCATCATCATAAGTCATCAGGAAAATGGAAAAGTAAACCCACAATGAGACTACAGACTCAACTGAATGGCTATAATTAAACTGGCAATACCAAGTGCTGACAAGAATGTAAAACAACTAACATTCTCATACTTTAGTTGCAGGAGTGAAAAAAAGTTTTTAACACTGTAAAAAACTGTTTAATAGTTTTTTATCCAGTTAAACATACACCTACCACATGACCCAAAAATTATATTCCTCTAGCAATGAAGTACAACAGTACGTACAAAGTGTTTCTTCCCAGACAAGTCTGCTTGAGTTGCAGAGTTCAGGATTTTTATTGGTGATTTGTAACATAGATATAATTGCCTGAGTGACCAGCTCTGATTACCAAAACTATAGACCCCAAAAAGGAAATCAGGAGTTCACAAAAAATTGCATGTTTTGCACAAACAATCTAAACAAGCTGGTACTGCATGGCCCCATACCCAACTGTACAAAACCACCTTATCAATTAGTAACACAGGTAACATCACAAGGGCTAAGTTCTCAGCAGCTGGTCAAGGGTCAGCCACGCAAGCAATCCCTTTCTAAAGGCAGATAAGAGTCAACAGTATCAGGTCTGCCGAATTAACTCTTTCACAACAAGAATGATGTTCATAACAACATTATTTGCAGTAAACAAAAATTGGAAATGATCCAAATGTCCATCACAGTGAATAGGTAAGCAAATTGAGCAATGTATACCTATAAAAGACTATCACACAGTAATAAAAAAGATGCATGAGACACAGATGAATGTCATAGACCTTATCCTGAATAAAACAGGCCCAGATACAAGAGTATATTTTCTATGATTTAACTTAAGGAAGCTCTAGAACTAGCGAAACTTATCTATTATGAAAAGTCAAAAAAGTGGTTGGGACAACTCCTGACTTTAAAGAGATACAAGGATGGCAACCAAAATTTTCATATGTTGTTGGTAGGAGTGCCCACAAAAAGACAGTTTTTAGCAATCAGCACCTGAAGGAAGTAGGTAAGACAGAGAATTCTGAAAAGACTCTATAGCATTCCTCCAGTAGTCTATGACTCATAATAGGTTAAGAACAACTGTTCTAAATATGTTTCCCTTACACCACATTCTAAGCTATCTTCTGATAATCTAACTGTTCTTTTCTCAGTGTCCTTCTTAAAGATTTCTTCCTTTAGTCCATAATGTAGACTGTAAAGACAGAATTAAATTAACATTTATTATATGTTTTAGATGAGGTCTAATGTCAAGTTTGGTTTATAAGTCTGCAAATGGGGAAAAACAACATTGCTGCTACCACTCCCATGAAACAGAAATTGCTTCTTTTAAAGTTCTACTTTAAACTCATAGCTATTTTCAAAGGCAAATTATTCTCAATTCCAACAGTTATGATACTCTCATATTCTAAGATCTTTATAAAGAATGTTTTCACTTATAAATGTTTTTGTTAAAAGATTGCTAGTAGCAAGTAGAAGATAAATAGACTTTTCTTTTAGTAGACCACTAACATCAAAGAACACATTAAGAAAAAATTTTAAAACCTCATGTACACAGAAATTGACAAAAATTTAACTCACAAAAAGTTCTTTTTTTAAAACAATTTAGCAAGAACTAGCAAAAACAAGTGAATAAAGAGCCATCAATTCTTTAAAGACAAAAACTGTGGCAAAGCACAAATAATTCCTATGATTTTTTAATATATCCAAAGCAAGCAATTGACCTTTTAAAAGCTGTATGTCATTAAATTATAACTCCTATGAAAATTAAATTGCATACATTAGGCTTTTA